TTAAACAGGTTACATACTCGAGCCATTTTCAAGTTCAACTTCGAGAACTAATCTTAGTGCATGTTGTTTCAATACTTCAATTTACTCTAGAGATTAGAGAGTATGAGTAGTGTAGAGCAACAAAATCATGATACTTGCTCGTACGAAAGTTGAATACTCAATCATTCATCTTGAAAATTGTATCAACACAATTTATTAACATAAGACAAACTATTTCATGAGTTAGAATGTAAACAAAAGAATCTTAAATTCGAAATTAAGGATAATTCATTCTTCATTATTCTCCATCCACACATTAGAATTTTGCAAGGGGGATAACATCTACTTTCTCGAGCTTCAAAACAGTGAAAAAAATTCGAACTCAAAAGAAAGAATTCAAAAGTAGCAAGAATAGACAAAAAAATTTGAACATTCATTTTTCCTCTTACTTGTTCTAATGAATGACCAATATTACCAGACTTAGCAAATATCTTTGTTAAAACTATGAATGGTGAAAAAAACGATTTTAACAAACTAGTTTAATCGTTTCCAAGATCCTAGTTGTTATCATTATAAGACGAAACACAGGATTTCTAGACCCATTTCAAGCAACATGAAAGGGTCTAATTATTAAAAATAGACAAGTCATCAAAGTCACCCAACATTGGGGGCTACAATATTCGATAACATAAAATGGGGACTCAAAAGCCCGAAGTATAGCCAAACTACTCTAGTTCGATGATGTCTTCAAGAATTCCCAAAACTAACTAGTTTTGTGCAAATCTTGAGATCACAGTTTTATAAATGAATAATAATAACCGTCGGTTATTTTTATCATTGATAAAACCAAATTTGAAACTTATGCATGAAAAAAATAAACATGAGTCGCAAGAAAAAATCCATGCTATTATAAAAGTTCAAAATTTCATTTTTAATTTTAATACATAATTGTTGTTCTAAACACTTCAATTTACATTAAAAATAACTAGTATATATAAGCAAAACAAAAGAGAAATAAAGTTCAAGCACAAAGTCAAAATTAGAACAAAAAAACCACATATATGCTTAACATGCTCATATAGGATCAATACTTTATCACTTCACATGAAATTTGTTGCATTATATTGCTTAAACATGTCACAGCGACAAACAAACAAATTCATGAAAACAAGTCAAATAAAAAACACCCAAATTCAAAATTTGGGGTTTAACGGTTTGAAAATCGCCCAAATTCAGCCTAGAATGAACGAATTATGGCAAATATGAATTAAGAGCGAGATCTACTTCCCTTAGCTTCAAAATCGCAAGAAAACAAGCTTTCTAGAGATAGAAAGGTTCGAAAATGGCGAAAAGGGGAGACGAGAGAATGCAAAATGAAAATCACGTTCAGCGATTTCTTTTTGCTGAATGAAATGCTGCGTGCAACTCAATCAGTTACGTGTGACATACCAGCGCAACTCATAACGATGCGCGCGCCTGGCAAGCACGACCCACTAAGTTGCACGCGGATAGGTCACTAAAATGATCGGAAATCTTGATTTTGATCTGTTTGATCATTTTTCAACAGTTTTTGCTCGTTATTAGACCTAATGGCGCGTAAATTATCAAAATCTTTTTAAATTGCTTTGCATTTTGTAGTTTGTTTTCTTCTTTGTTAGGTTTTTTCATCATCTTGCATGCACACCGTGCTTTGTGCCTTCCCCTAGCATAAGTTTTGAACGTTTTTCGTAAGAGTTCCTTAAGACGTTCCGTGGTGGTGCTTTACGTCAAAGCACACATAGACAGGTTTGTCATTTTACTGTACTGACGTTATAAATGTCCGGGTTTTCTTCTTTTTTCACGTCCGAAACAAAAAGGAAGGTATTTTCATGCAGCGTAAAAATGCAAATGGCGTATCGTACGACACAAAATTATACGGCGTAGGTGTTGCGTAAAATTTCACTTCAGCCCAAGCTATGCGAGATCTACCTCTCGAAACTAAAATGTAGAAATTATTGTATGCGTTAGCTCACGAGTCGACAGGCGCGCCGAACCATCAGTGTAGACACCCATTTGTGTCTCCCCAAAACCAAACCCGGTGATGAGTACCTTTCACGTCGAATCATAATCGAATGAAGTGAAAAAGTTGAAATTCTAGTGTTGCAGATAGTTTTAGTTTCTTTTCTCTTCTCTCTGTTTTTGAAAACCTATTTTAAGTAAACAGTCAATCCAGTTAGGTTGGTCCATGATATGGGTCCATTAATAATGTAGTTGGATGGGGCTTGAAAAGATCTTTCCAACGATACATTATTAGCCCAATTCCGATGAATATTGAGGAAATTATGGCCAAATTACTAAACTGGGTCTGGTTTGAGCCTTATATTCGGCCCAATGATGTAGAGGAGAGCCTAATATGGATTTATCATTCCTAATTCAATTAGGAATGGTTTTAGTCTTCTATATTCTTCTAGAAGGTTCTTTTCATTCCTAATTCAATTAGCATTGATAAATTGACTTTTGTTGACTTTTTGAATTTTAATTAGAATAAAAGAGTGTTTTTTAGGAAAATTTTAATTAGAAAACGCGTCAAAAAACTGATTAGCGCCTAACGCTAGCATTAACGCCTGGCGCTAAGCTTAGCGCCTAGCGCTAGCGTTAGCGTCTAGCGCTAACTTCAGTTTTTCACGTCAGAACTCTGGTTCAATTTTCTATCTTTTCGGCTTATTTTCTCTATAAATAGCCTCCTAAAAACTCCGTTTTCAATCATCAATTCCATCTCTAATCTACAATCAACAACCTCTAATCATCCCTATTCTCTACTCTCTCGAAGCTAAAGCTTTCTTTCTCTCTCTTTTCTAAACCACCCTTTACACAAAATTCCGCATTCACAAGACCTAGAAACACCTAGCATAATTCGAAGTTGCCTTCGCCCTAGGCGTGAAAGGTTTGATATTTCTGAGGGTTTGGTCCCAAATCTCTCTTTCAATTATTTAATGGAAAATTGTAAACTAATAATCCCACCTTTAGGTGGTCTTCCACAAACAATCCCACCTTTCTAAAATCCGGAAACAATCCCACCTTTCTAAAATCCAGAAACAATCCCACTTATTCCCCCTATCTTCCATTAACGATCCTTTTTACAGGTTACCCCTTAAACCGATGAACCTATTCTATTTCCCTCCCTAAAGTCTTTCTTCTCCAACGGTTTTCCCCCAAAAAAACACAAGTTTCGCCATTTTTATGAAACAAAGTAACAATTTAAAAAAAAAAAATTAACTTTCAGAAACTTATCTTCATCGAAAGGACTGCAATTGTTCATTGATTGAAGGAAATTAAGGTCCTTAGCACAGCAATTCAAGGTGGGCTAATTAGAGGTAAATTTTCGACAAACCCTAGCTTTCTTAAATTTGCGAATTAAAGCAATTAAACGAAGATAGCTTCGATTAACATAGTGAAGAGTAATTTAAGTAGTTATTGAGACTGTTTGCGTATTGTAATGGGTCTTGCATGTTTGAAAATATATCATGGTGGGAAGTTTAAATTTGACAGTAATGGTTACTGGGTTTATTTGGGAGGGAAGTTAAGCACTTTTGATGTTGATGTTGATGAGTTGTGTTGGTTTTATATGAAGGAATTAGTTGCTAAATGTGGTAATTATTTTGGAAATTTCAAACTTTATTACTTAAATCCTGCACTTGACTTAAGGGGTGGGTTAAAGTCTGCATTTACTGATGATGAATTCAGAGAATTGGGTAGGGTAATGGTGGAGAACAGAACAGTAGACTTGTATGTAGTTGTTGATGATGTTCAGCCTGAATTTGTTAAACAATCCCAGAATGGATCCAATACCGCAACCCAGCCCACTTCAGCCATTGTTGCCACAGAACATGAGCCCAATAGGCCCAAAAAATTAATACCTAAGAGAGCTGGCATTTTGAGTCAGGCATCTAGTGCAGTTTCAGAGAAGCTGCATGTGTTGGAAAAGTCTAAAGGCAAAGCAGTAGAAGCGATCCCCACTCTAACAACAAACAAACAACTTCAACCATTTCCTAGATCTAGTACCTCCATTTCATTACCAGAAAACCCTAGTCAAACAACAGCAACCCCAACTCAAACAAAAAACACATTAGAGCTTCATTCTGAATTCATTAGATGTGAAGTGCCAGGGGACTATGATTGGGAGGAAGACAGACCTAATAGCCCCATTGCCATAGATGAGTTATTGTATGGTTTAGGAAGTGATGAAGATGATGATTATAGAGATTATGTGTTAGAAGATGATTTGGAGGGTGAGTCTGATGCAGATGAGTATTTGTTTCAAAAAGAGGATGAGGTTAATCTCAAAAATGAGTATGAGGAAGAGGATTGGCTAGGTGATTATGAGATTTAACAAGCTAACTTTGAGTTAGATGGGGAAGATGATGATGTTAGTGACATTGAAGAGTTGAAGGAGCCAAAGGATTTTGATGCTGATAGTAGTGATGATGAGCAAAGGGAGCAAGGGAAAGAGTGAAAGGTTTCAATTGTAGTGTAGTAGAATTGGCACAATCACTACAAGTTCAAGCTGCTAAGGGTAATTTAGCTGCACAACAGGAAGGGAACAAAGGGGGTGAGAGTAGTATACAGGTTGGGGAGAGTAGTAAACAAGCTGGAGAGGGTGGAAAACAGGCTGGTTACAACTCTGAATATGAAGAATCTGATGAAGAAATTCACACACCTAGGGGAAGTGATGAAGAGGAGACAATTGGGGAAAGAAAGAGCAGGAGAGGTCTGCTTGTAGGGCCTAAGACTGACTTTACTCAGTTTCAGTGGAAGTTGGGCATAGATTTGCAACTAGGGAGGACTTCAAGCAAGCTGTTGCTAAGTTTGTAATTTTTCAAGGTAGAAATCTAACTATTGTGTCAGCAAATAAAAGTAGGCAACAAAGAATTGGTGTGAGGTGCAGTGAAGGGTGTCCTTTTAGGTTATATGCCTCTTGGGACTCCTGGAGAGGTTCCTTTATAGTTAAAACAGTAGTGTCAGACCATAGTTGCATCAGAACTATGGAGAAAAACAAGCAGCTGAAAGGGTCATGGTTGGCAGAACAACTACTTGATGTGTTTAAGGCTAGGCCTCATTGGCCAGCTAAAGAGATCATTGAAACAGTCAAGAGAGCTTACAGGGTTATCATTAGGAAAGAGTTTACTTACAAGGTAAAGTGGCATGCTCACAAAAAGCTTCATGGCTCCATGAGAGAGCATTATGGGAAGGTTGGCAGGTATCTTGAAGCCTTGAAAAGGTCCAGTCCAAACACACAGTTGGACTTAGTCACATACATGGACAAGAATAAGCCACCACAGATTTTTCAGAGGTTGTATGTCTGTTTTGAGGGATTGCAAAAAGGTTGGATGGAGGCTTGCAAAAGAATTATATGTGTTGATGCTTGCTTTTTGAAGACATTCATAGGGGGAAAGTTGATGTCTGCTGTAGGCAGAGATGGGAATGATCAGATGTACCCAATTGCTTGGGCAGTGGTGGAGGGTGAAAATTATACTTCCTGGGAGTGGTTTTTGAATAACCTCAGCAAAAGCCTTCAGCTTGGTGATGGTTCTGGAACTGTGATTGTGTCAGATGAGCATCAGGTATAAACTTCAATTGTTTTTGGTTTTTTTTTCCTGAATTCATTAATACATATATTTGGTTATGTTGGTTTTTTTTTGCTTAATTCATTAATACATATTGCTTTACTAGGCCATTCCAAGAGGGGTTAGTGTGACACTCCCTCAAGCTGAGCACAGACATTGTGCAAGACATATTTTTTCAAATTGGCACAAGAATTTCAGAGGTGATGAAATGAAATTGATGTTTTGGAGCTGTGCAAAGTCATATAGTGAAGCTGACTATAGAGATGCACTTAATAAGTTGGAGACAACTAATGCTGCAGCTGCTGCAGGCTTCAAAAGTTACAACCCAAATGTCTTCTGCAGGGCATTTTTGAAAACTGATGTGAAGGCAGATGCCATCACATCTAACATGGCTGAGACATTTAATGGGTATATCATTAATGCTAGGGCAAAACATTTGATTTATATGTTGGAGGATATAAGGGCAGCTTTAATGAGGAGGTTGGTGATTAAGAGGCAGGAAATGGAAAAATGGAAGAGTGTTTTATGTCCAAGGATTCAAAAGAAGCTAGAATCAGAGAAAGAGGAAGCTGCTAATTGTGAGGTCATTCCTTCTTCACAGAGTGTGTTTCAAGTGAGCCATATCTTGGACACTATGTCTGTGGACCTGGAAAAAAGAACTTGCACATGCAGAAAATGGGACATGTGTGGGATCCCATGTTGCCATGCAGTGGCTGCAATTTTTTTCTGTCATAAGAAGGCAGAAGATTATGTTGATGAGTGTTATAAGAAGGAGATGTACTTGAAAGCATATGGGAATTCAATCCCTCCAATTGAAGGTGAAAGGCATTGGCCTCAATCCAAGTTGAGTATGGATCCACCCCCCCATCAAAGTAGGACCAGGAAGGCCAAGGAAGAATAGAAGAAAGGATCCATTTGAGGACCCTAAAAAGCCAGGAAAGTTGACCAAACATGGCATGGAAATGACGTGCTCTGTGTGTCAACAAAAGGGCCATAATAAGAGAAGGTGCCCCAACAGAGGAACTACTCTTCCACAAGCCCCACAAACCCCAGATGAGCCTCCAGCAAAGAGAGCAAGGGGTAGGCCAAGGAAAGAGGCTGCAGCTTCCCAACCTATGCACCCATGCTCTTCTACTCATCTAACAACAACAGCTAAACCTTCAAGAATAGGAAAGGGAGGTAGAGTGATCTGCAGGTGAGGCAACTCAGCTGGAAGGGGAACTGGCAGAGCTAGGGGAAGGGATGCTCCAACTAGTAAGGGTGGGAGAACTGGTAGGGGAGGGGAAGCTTCAGGCAGTATGGGAAGAGGTGTTACCACAACAACAGGAGGTAACAGAGGTGGTAGAGGAACAAGGGGTGGTAGAGGATCAAGAGGTGGAAGAGGCAGAGGAAGAAATCAGGTCCCCCAAAGTTTTGGTGTTTATTTGACATCAGATGGCTCTACATTCACTAATGTATGACAGTAACTTATTGACTATTTTATTACAAAGCCTATTTATGTGGAAACAAAACTAACTCCTCTTTTTTTTTTTTTTATCAATGCAGCCACCAGGAAGTGCAGGACCTCAAGATGTTTCAGCACACACCACTACTTTCTCCTACAACTTCAGTCAGGGTTCCTCAAATTAGAACAACATGTAATAAGGATGTATTAGTTAGTTAAGATCAATAACATTCCTAAGTTTATGCAATTCAAACCTATGTTTATGTATCTTCATTTGAACAGAGTTTGTCTTGTATTTTGAAGAATTCCATGTAATGCTATATATGCTCTCTGTTTGTGCAATTTTTTCATAGTATATATGATGTATTAAAGTGATTAAAACAGTGGCTGCAACAACAATTAAATTGCAAGAATTTAAGCAACAACAATTTAACCAAGCAACATAAGTCATATATTCATTGAAATTGCCATGGTTACAAAAGTCAGTGAAGGTCAGCACCTACACTACAGTCAAGCCCTAATTCCTTCTTTAAGTCAAGCCTAGCCTACTGAATACCATCCTAGCATGCCAAATTAAGCAAAAAAACTAAACACTTTCACATCTGAAAACTACCCAAAATACAGATGTCCCAACCAACCCACAACACACTTATACTACACCTTCACAACAACCCCAAAAAACTACCTTCACCCCATCATCAACACACCCTATTTTATCAACAGCACAAGGGTGAAAAATGCCCAAGAGAAGACCAGGGTAAGCATTAGCCTTTTGTCAGTGTTGTTTTCCTTGAGTTCAAACATTGTTTCAGTTGTTGCAATGCCCATTTCCTCCACCTCTTCAACCAGCTTCTCTTTCTTTGCCTTGAGCCTCTACACTTTATCCTTCATCATGTCCATTTCATACTCAAGCTCACAAATTCTGGTCTCCTTCTCCATAACCAAATGCTGCAGATCACGAACATCATCCACCTCATCAGCCCACTTGAAAAAGCCACAAGTCCTCTGCTCCTACAAATCACCCAAATTAGGCTATTACAGCAATAACAAAGCAAATTAAAAAAAAAACAACAATTTGGTGCGCAAATACTTACAGGCCAGTATGAGCACCCAAAAAAACGCTTCCCCTTTGTTGGACCATCGTAGCGCACTGTCCTCAGTGGTGCAATTTCATTGTGGTAGCAAACCACCTAAGAAGACGAGGTTTGCTTCGACCTCGACCTTGAAGAGGAGCCAATTGAATTATGACTTTCCATTGATAGCGAATTGGAAAAAAAAAGAAAGCTTTGAGTACAAGAGAAGAGATGAGATGAAGAAAGATGAAGAAAGATGAAAAAATTAATTGATGGGGGGGGGGGCATTTTATAAAATTCTCAGAGAAGAACAGGGGAGAAGGCATTAATGGTGTATAAGCTTTTTAACGGTTGGAAATTAAATTAGAAGAAACCGGTTGTTCTAAGCAATCTAATTTTTTAACCGGTTTCAACAGGTGAAGGATCGTTAATGGAAGATAAGGGGAATAGGTGGGATTGTTTCTGGATTTTAGAAAGGTGGGATTGTTTGTGGAAGACCACCTAAAGGTGGGATTATTAGTTTACAATTTTCCTTATTTAATTTAATTATTTTATTTTATTATTTTCCCTGAAGTTATTAACGTATGTATTTTGTTATTAGAAAGAGATACGAGGCATCCAAGTAAGTGCTTTAATTGATTTATCTATTTTATGATACAGAAATCATGCTTAGATTGTTATTTTGATTCCTAGTATCATGTTTAGGATGTTCTTAGTATCATGTTAGGATGCTTTCTTTAGTATGATATTTAGGGTGATTTGCTTATATCAATCATGATTCCTGCAATGCTTCCTATTTTTTTTTTCCTAATATCATGTTAGTATCATGTTAGGGCTATATATTTGATCTTTGATGTTTAGTGACATGCTAGGGTTTTTTATTAATCTTGTTAGTATCATGCCTAGGATCTTGCTATTATTATGCTTTAGCGTTAATATGATTATGTTTATTATGATTAATTTTATTGTTATGATTATTAATTTATTATGATTATTGTGTTGCTTGATTATATTTATTTTTATTGCTTGATCTCACCTTTTATGCATGTTTAAAGGGAACTAGTACTTGTAACCACGCTTATATAAGATAATTAATAATCTTGTTTAGGGTTAATATGATTATAATTCAAGTGATCGCCAATAATAGTTTATTTGTGCATTAATATTCAACCAACATAGATAAACAGGTTTAGGGTAACCCTATGATTGCATGTTAGTCAGAAAGCGCACATGAATACGATCAGAATAAAGTAGAGGCCTATTATTAGGGCAGGTTCAATCTCTTTTAGATTGGATTTATACCTTCATCCCCTAACTACCAGTCATGGTTCCAGACCCATCGGAGTTAACGATCTCCTGGAACCTTCACCTCGTGAACGGTTTACAAGTTCCTAAAACTTGTTGGCGACTCTTTTGCTCTAGCTTCCTTACCTTTGGACACCACCGTACTTTAGTGTAAGATCATAGCGGGGTTCAAGTTTGGGGTAATGCTTGAAATATTCCCTACAGTTTTTTGGCGACTCCACTGGGGAGGAATTCTATTTTAATTCTTGAAATTTATTTCGACAATGATTTAGAATGTGTGAATGAGACTAAAAAAGTTATAAGTATTTCATGTGCGTAATTTAGATTAACATTATTGTCATATGCATAAAAAAGATCTCATTGGAAAGACAATCCGTAATGAGTTAAAAACATAGGATTTTTACATGTAGGAAATTTGAGGAATATCTTTCACAACTAGGATCAAAATAATGCTGCGCGAAACTGGAAAATTTTATCGAGCACAGAAAGCTGCTGAGGCATGTAGGAACTAGCGTCAGAAAAAAGAGTCTAGCGCCACTGATTTGACTCTGGCGCCAGGCGACAACTTCTGTCGCCAGGCGCCAACCACTGTTTGCTGGCGCCAAGTTATTCCAATACCGAGTAAGAAATACGCGTTCTAATTTTGACCAGTTTTTAGCACTGTTTGCTCGATCCTACTTCCTTATTAAGTTTTTCTCATTTTTTTGAAACCCATATGTGTTCTACATATGGACATAACCCCCTGGGAAATCATGCTCCATCTACTTGATTGAACACTCTGTGCAACAAAGGGTACATCCGAGAATGTTGAATTCACCAAACCATGGAAGCGAGTTTTTCTAAACTCGCGGTGTCCCATCCACTCGCGCCAACCCTTCACATTTAGGCTTCCGCGTGGTGTATCCGGACAATTAACTATGGACCCTCTTTAACTAACCCACATCCCGACTTTTAGAGAACTAGAGCCATGGTTAGGTTGCAAACTCATTGCATCATATTGTGACTACTTGACTACTTGTGCATTCTTTGCTTGTGCATACTCTGTGTTTTTCCTAACCGTTTGTTTGACTTGTGATTAAGCCTAAATAAACTAATTAATGACTAAAGGACCTTGTTTAATTAATTATTTAATTAATTTGAGCTACAAAATATACCTAAAATCGAGTCATAGTTCCTTTAAGTCAACCCGGATTTTTATTCCCGTATACTGCACAAGCGTCAACTTGTTTTGGTCATAGCCGGAGTTCTAGGAAGAACTACGAGTCGCTCAACCTATAAAACAAAAGCCCCGAGTTTTATCTTTGATTTGGCGTTGGTTTCATCACAATTAGAGTTACATATCAAAATGTATGACTAAAATACCACAGCCTGTCCAGTGTAATGCATATACGCGACGTCTTAACTTAGTCTTTGTTTGAGTCTAGTCATATAGTCTAGCCATATGGTCATGACACGAGTCTTAACATGTCACCTACACTCACTAGTTTAGCACACACTTTGTATATGTCACCATGACCATGTCTTAGGTTCATGCATGAGTCATTCTTTCCGTCACTTGAGTTGGGGGTATTGTTTTGGGTGTTTTTGTCCCTCGGGAGAGTTACAACACAAAGACTGAACCGGAGTGAGCTGTACCTGCAAAACAAACGGAGACACCAGTTGGGTGGTGCTCCGCCTCCGACGCACAAGTTAGAAACTTGAAGGGAGAAAAAGGTGCGGAAATTTAGGTGGGGTTCTGCTCGGATTCCAAGCTCAGGATGTCTCTATCAAAGAGTCCAATGTGTAATAAATGGTAAAATGTGCCCTCAAAAAGAGGGACATCTCCCTATTTATAGGGTCTTTGGGATTTGTGCCCCTGATTAGGTCACTAAACCCTAATCATTGGTGGGCTGCGCCGCTTTGCGGCTTTCTCGGGATTTAGGCCTGAAGGCCGCTTTTTTCCCTTAATTTCTGGAGTGACACGTGTCAAGCAGGGATTGGTCCACTTTGGGCCATCCTGAGGCTGACACATGTCATCCTCTGATTGGACCACGTGGCGGGGTAAAATTACCCTAAACATTTGCCCCTCACAGATGTGAC